AAGACACTTTTATAACACGAATTTTTTTGAGTTCTTGGAATGCTTATCTGATGAACTGACTGATACTTTCATTTAATCTATAAGGGAAGAAGCAAAATGAAATATCCAAACTAGTTATGGTTGATTGAGAAAACCAAGGACTAGGTAAATTTACAAAACATTTAGCATCAAAGGTGTTTTTTGAAATATTTAATTCTTTAATATAGCGGCAGACTTGAACAATCATTTTATGAATGATTAAAAAGACTTTGGGTTTCAATAACAATATATTATTTTTTAGATACCACATAAAAACACCAACTTGTAGTATTTAATAAAAATTATATCGTTGCAAAAAAGCGACATAGAAAAATGAAGAGGTTTTTTTCTTTTTATATTTTTTACAAATTTGCAAATTTTCTTTTAGCAATTTAAAAAACTCTATTTGCTCTTCTTTATTCAAATATAAAAGATAAATATCAATGATTTTATAGCAGTTGTCGTCAGAACATGCTTTTTCTAATGGATCAGCCCAAAGCAAGGGCACAACCCAGGAGCAAAATGAGTGATTAACTAAAAGGAGATTATGTAAAGAATAAAATTTAAGAGAAGCTATGTATTGGAAAATTTCAACCCAAATTTCTGGTATTAAAAAACTTGAATTCATTTTTGTTAGTGTTCAGATTATGTGGTTTTGTATAAACTGCACTCTAAAATTTTGTGAGAATAACCTCTGTCATTTATATATTTATTAAAACAGGTCCAGTTAATATTGTTTGTTTCAATTGTAGAGATATCACAGGTTACTTTAAATCTATCAACAGGAGGAAACCTAGACTGATCTTTCACCCAGTGTGCAACATATAAAAAAAATTATTTTACAATACTAATGTTATAAATAATATAATAAATGAACAATAAATGGATGTGACAATTACCAACACTGCTATTCAGTATTATTAAGATTTAAAAAATCTTTTTATATCAAGTAAAGAAATTAAAAGATGATTTTTTTTTAAAAAAAATTATTTGCATAAAGAAAAAATGCATCGAATCACTGGGCCAAAAATTACTCGTATAGTATTACTAAATTTTCATTGTAATGTATAATAATAAATAATTTCAAAATATCAGGAGGTATATGTAAACTTTTAAATTTAATAAATATTTTGTCATCTTTAACAACTTCTTCCCATTTTATGTATACAACACCCTTCTTAAATTTCAATAAGGATTGAAAAATGTTAGGTTTGATGGAAAATTTATTTTCATACGCGTCTCTGAATTCTGTGCTGAAATTGGGTGCTATATCTTCTGATAAATATTTCTTACTTCTAGAAATCACCGTTATAATGCTAATAATCATGTATTCTAATTCAAGATTACTCCCAAGATTAATATCAGATGAGAAATTATACACGTAATTATGGCCATCAAAACTGGTCTTGTAATTTAAAAAACCGCATGTAAAATTATAACTACTGGTAGTAGGGTGGCTTTTGAAAATAAACACAGAAAACTGAAGGTCGTTAGGTACATTGGTATCTAAGTGGGAAATTTTGTTAAAAACTCTTTGAAAGAGTCCTTTTTGAAAATTGCCAAATTAGACATTCTTGATATATAATTAGATTTTGAATGGTAATTTATATAATTTTATCGTGTATGAAATAACTAAAGAGAGGGATATTAATCTGGTTAAATTCATTATCCAAACTAGTTAAACCAATTGGCCATGTATAAATTGTATTGTTAAATTAAAAGTGATCAGACTACTTAGTGAAATAAAAATTTATAATATTGTTGTAAATCTTATTCACACTACAATTAGAGATATGATCCATAAACTATTAGCTAATATAAATAAACTGTAAAAATAAACTACAATACGTTAAAAATCTCATCCTAAAAATCAAAATATCAAAAAAAAGATCAAAATATTTGTTTACTGCATACACTATATTGAATAATATTTTGAACAATATTGATATTTAAACTTGATTAATATCGTAAAATTTATTAATAATCGATTATTCGCGAGGTAATATATTGATAATTTGAAATATTTTTATTATGTTAAAGTGACCAAAATACACGTTATCAATAATTATCCAATTGTTAAATACAATAGAAAAGAATTGAAAACACAAAATCTGGACAATTTATATCAGGTATTCAGATTTTATGATTTCAATTCTAGTTTCTATATATTAGGAGAATTGATATTTTTTATTTACTTTGGCAAGGTTTAGAATGTTTTCTCTATTAAATTGAACAATAAATTATCAACACCTATATATCCACTTGACAATCCTTCTTGAACAGCTGTTTTGGAATCACATTCCTGACACCAGGCATAAAATGTGTTATGATAGTATGATGGCGTTAAGATGAACATCAAGTTAATATTATATTGGAGATCAATAATTAACCAATTAAATTATTATCTTAAAAAAATTTATTATCATTGTCATTATAGCTTTTAATGCCATTAGAAATAAATTCATATAAAGACAATCCCAAATTAAAATCCAAAAATAATCTATATTAAAATTCAAGAGTGTACCTTCGGTGCCAATATATTAGATACTACACGATGATACTGTACAAGTAAAAGATTGTAAAAATTGAGCTCGACTAATAAAAGTTGGACTCAACTCATAAAAGTTAAGCTCAACTAATAAAAGTTGGGTTCAACTCATAAAAGTTAAACTCAACTCGTAAAAGTTGAGCTCAACTAATAAAGTTGGGTCCAACTTGTAATGTTGAGCTTGACTAATAAAAGTTGGGCTCAAATCGTAAAAGTTAAGCTCAACTAATAAAAGTTGAGCTCGATCAATAAAAGTTGGGCTCAACTCGTAAAAGTTGAGCTCAACTAATGAAGTTGGGCTCAACTCACAAAAGTTGAGCTCAACTAGTAAAAGTCAACTAGTAAAGTTTAAACTTAAATAATAAAATTTTTTGTTAAAGTTTAAAGTTTTTATAATTCATACAAACATCTTAAGAGAAAAATTATTTATTTACAAGAAAAAATGATCATTTCTAATCGTATTCAAATTCATATCTATCCTTAACTGTGATCAAATAATCTATTAGAGGTTCAGATTTTGATTTATAAATGGATGTTAATGAAATCACTACATTACTAAATGCTTTATCCACTTTAATGGCTTTGATATCTTTACTTCTGGTGTTTACAAATTCATTAACAGTACTCACACCAACTTTCTTATCTAATAATTGTTTGGATTTACGATCTTTTTTAATAAATTCATCATATATTTCTCAGATTTTTTTATATTGTCCTAAACTGAATTTCTTTCCTTTAGTTTCTATTTGATTTAAAAGAAAATCGGCAAATTTTTCTTGGTTCTTAAACTCCAAGTTAAAATCATCAGATAGATCAGTGTTGATTGGATCAAAGAAGTTCTTGTTTCAATTGTAAAGATATCACAGGTTACTTTAAATCTATAGACAGGAGGAAACCTAGACTAATCTTTCATCCAGTGTGCAACATATAAAAAAATATATTTTACAATACTTATATGGTATATTATAAATATGAACAATAAATGGATGTGACAATTACCAATACTGCTATTAAGTATTATTAAGATTTAAAAAATCTTTTTATATCCAGTAAAGAAATTATTAAAAGATAATTTTTTTTAAAAAAAATTATTTGCATGAAGAAAAAATACATCAAATCACTGGGCCAAAAATTACTTATATAGTATTACTAAATCTTCATAATAATGTATAATAATAAATAATTTCAATATAAATAATTTCAAAATATCAGGAGGTATATGTAAAACTTTTAAATTTAATAAATATACAAATTGGCTGCATTTTTTCTGTACTTATAATTTTTTTTGTAATTCTTTTTTTTGGTTTGTTTCTGTTTAATAAATTTATAATAGTTCATTTCAAAAGCTATTAGATATTAACGAAACTGTTACTTGTGCTGACGATTCTTAAAGACTTTTAAATGTTATAAGTATTTCGTTATTAAAGAACGCCTACATTAGAATCTATTATTTCTAATAAAAACACCTATTACTAAATAAAGTCTAAATTAGGTAATACAAGTCTTGTAAGGGAGTAGGCTTTCACGTCAGCTTAAGCTGACTCATTTTTTTAAGTAAGGTAGCGAAGAAGAATATTGCGAGTACTATTAATATCCCTATCGAGTTTTGTTTTACATTTAGGACAACAAAATACTTTAGATCCACCTAGCTTGCAGTAGATGTAACTACAGAATCCACAAGTTTTACTTGTATATTCTTCTGTGCAAATAATTATTTGATATCATGGATGTTCACGTGCTTTATGGGCCAGATGTTGCTAAAAATGAAAATGTGACCATGTATACATAGCTTGAGCTGTCTTAGAACCAATATGTCGCTACCCATGTCTGATCATTCTTTGAGTATGAAATTCTGGTAATATTATTATACGATGATTTTTACAAAGCCATTTAGTCAATTTACAATGACATTCATAAACTAGACAGTGGATCCTCTTTTGAATATGCAACATAACACGTCATAGTCTATAATTAATATAATCAATCAAATTATAAATAATATAAATATATAAATCTATTATTAAAAACTTACCTGTACGTTTACGTTTGTTTTCTTTTCTATAAATCTTATCTCGTTTACTTTGAAGTTTGTCATATATATGACAAAGTCAATAAATCTGACTAATATCATTTTTTCTCCATTTAATAGCCATTCTACTTGGATCATAATTAGTCATAAAATTATGTACACCTGGATCTAGTAGTTAATATAAGTAAATAATTTAAAAAAAAATCAAAAAATTAATTCAAACCTTTTCTTGATTTTCTGAAAATAAAGGACCTTGGTTCTCAGCCCGTATTTTAAGTAGCTCAGGTATACAAAGGTAAAATTTACTAAGACGATTTATAACAAGACGACTATCATATTCAAGTTGTTTTGAAAGAGATTTTGCTGAATCATTTTATAAAGAAATGAGAATTCACCATGAGATTTACTCCAATGTTTAGAAAGTATTGTAATTGATTGCTGTTGATCTTTTTTAGAATGAAACTTCATTTTAAAGTTTTTATGATTTGTAGCAAAATTAGATGCATATCCTTTAAGTAAGTTATTCATTGCTTCACCTCGTATATTATAAGGTGTTTCTAAAATCCATTCAAGTTCTGTTTTATTCTGAAAGTTTATAGCATTAAGACATTGAGCACGTAAGTCCTTCTTTTTTCGTTTAATGCCTTCTTTTTCAATCACAATAAGACAACGATTGTATGTTCATTGAGTTGTTTCTATCCATTGTCTGAGTTTTGATCATTCTTTCTGAGTAGGAAAAAGGCAAATGCGTCGTACCTTGCCTGCTGGAAGTTTTATTACTTTCTTCTTAGAACTTTTGAATCGCTTGGGTGGTTTCTTTTCTTCTTTTGCAATTGGCAGCAGAGTATAATCTATTATGTCATGCTACAAACACTGTGATGATTGAAAGTAAGTCTTCTGCGAATTCTCTAGTTTTGTTATCATTGCCACAAATATCTGAACTGAATACCATGAGCCATATCCCAGTTTTTTCAAAGATCTATTCCACAAGTTTGGATCTAAAGTGACAAAAATGGTCTTTTCAGGTAACCACCACTTCTTCGATTCCTTCAGAGTGTATTCATTCCAAAAGGGTAAGAAACCACCTGCATTTCCAATTGAGTCCTAAACTGATGTCACTAATGATTTTGTATCCTGGGTAATTATGTTAGAGATCTGTGATCTATTGTTCAAGATCACCTTGCTGGTGCTTGAAAATGACTCTTGCATAACAGACCTTGGCCTTTTGCATAGATTCTGGCAACCTTCAGTTATTTTCAACAGCTTTATGTACTTTGTAATTAATATCACGGAGTTAGACAATTACCGTAGCAACTGTTATCTTGTCTAGATGGCTTTATTAATACTACTGGTCTTGCTTGATACAGGACACACACACACCTTTGCACTCAAAACACACCAACTTTCACGTAAGTCTTGCTTGTAATTAGATGTTTACTTTATTTCTAGTCAAGAAACTAACTGATTTCTTTATTTACATTCGCTATTTATACAAAATCTCTATTATATACTTGGTATAACCTTTTAACTATCTCTTCATTGTTAATAAAATAAACTTTTAATTTCTCGTTATTATTATCAAATCGGGAATCACGGTACCTATCGTACCTGATCCTACTAATCCCACTCTACACTTTAATCGATCATATGATCACGTGAGTTATTCGATCGTTACACCTTTATACCTTTTGACTTATTACATATTTTATTGTCAATCTGCATTCCCATTACTAAGTGCAAGGGCTCTTTGTAAACTATATGACAATTGAATAAAGTCGTTTTCTTCTTGGCGTTTTAACGACCACTTTTTCAGAAGCAGCCCATCATCACAACGTTTCAACTGAGATATCATATGTCTTCTAAATCTAGCTTGTACTTAGATAAGTAATTTTGTTCTAAGCCAGCTTGTATATTTGTTTTTTGTTTTTCTGCTACTAAAGTGTTTTTTTAATTAAAGTGAGATACTAACAATGCAGTATCTGTTAAACTAACCTTTTCTTTATATTTAGTATAAAATGTAGGGGCAAAATTAAACAGCACGATACTAGCTTTAATGTGTATTACAAGATGTGCGTTTTATTCTGAAATATTCAAAAATAATGCAACGGGCAACTTTAATTGTTAATTTTATAATGTATATATTACCTACTAGTTTTTTTAATGGTCATTAATTGTTACAAACATATAAATAGTGCAAATGATTTAGTTCTGATTTAATAATTCACTTCCTATGAAAGATGATACCAAATTTCTGTGTCAATAAGCAGGTAAGAAATTTTAGCTAAATAGCCACGACAAATCTTATCAAAACTGACAAATATTTTAGTATGAAAATGCCTAACTAACGCTAAATAGAGTTGCAAATAAACAGAATACATTTACTAGTTACAAATTATGTTTACCAGGGCTATGACTGTAGTTACAAATTATGTTTACCAGGGCTATGACTCTAGTTACAAATTATGTTTACCAGGGCTATGACTTACTAGAATCATGAACACAAGTTGATCAATCACCCCAACATTAATATTAACGTTAAATGTTAATTGAGATGTCATGAACATTACTAATTATAGTGGTCGGCTAAAGCAGAGCAAGTTTTAAAATTACTTTTTTAATGTAGTTAGGGTTAGTGGGTTATATGAATATCAAGAATATAATTTATGCAGTATGAAAATCATATATTGAATTAACTCCCTTTAGCCGACTCCTAATTATAGTTATTGTTATCATTATCGTTATGGTTCATCTGTAAAAATCTGAATTAGGATTATCTCCTCATTTCTCGTGAGATACTTCTCATATTCTTTCTCTTAGATTAAAAAACCTAGGTTTGTAACAATTATTCGTTGAACAATTACAGTTAGTTTTTATACTTATTTTTGAAGTAATAATATCTAAATTTCAATATATTGTAGTTGGTTTAATAAAATCACAAGAAATAGCAAGTGCT